GCCACCAGGGAGGGCCAGTTTTCTTGCCTTTTTGATAAAATATCTGACATGTACATTGTCTACCCACCTCTTCCATTACCTTTATCTTAAATTTTCTAGAACTACTGGATTAAAAACTTTCCTATGAATTCCATACTTTCTCATCTCCAAACTGAGTGCTTAGGAAGAGTAATACACAAGATGGCTTGATGAAGTATTTATTTGCACTCAGTGCATAAAAGGTATATTGTTTTCCTCCTCTGCATTAAACAATCTCACATGTATTTCTATGCCAGGCTGTGGAATAAGGATGACCCCTTCAAACATGCCATTACCAGCATCATCTTCTACTGAAAGGATTGTCCATGGTCGGGAAACAGCCCTAGAAGGGGAGTGGCCCTGGCAGGCCAGCCTCCAGCTCATAGGCGCGGGTCATCAGTGTGGAGCCAGCCTCATCAGTAACACGTGGTTGCTGACCGCAGCTCACTGCTTCCGCAAGTAAGATCACAGGGCTGCTGTGAGTCTTCTTTCCAGGTCAATAGTTGTTATTGATTCAGTGCCTGGGAAGAGTCTTGTTTCAACAGTTCATCCTTTGTCACACATAGAATGAACCCTGCCCTGTCCCCTAAAATGTTTGCTGTAGGCTCATCATGTTCTCCTCTCTCCCTTTCTCACTATCTGTAGTTGATTTAGATCACTCATAGGTTCTTACTGTATATTTTCCATATTATCATGCAATCTCGCCTATGAGATCAAATTATTTTAATGTAAAGACTATCACTTACTATTATATAGTAAGTCTAAAATCTTTACACAAAGAGAAAATTCAGCCCCTCCTGTCACTTTTTAAAGTCAGTCTTTTTATCTTCTTATAGTCATCCATTTTATTTTATAAAGAAAATCTCAGAGTTATCACTCCTGAAGCTTTTCCTTCCAACTGCATTATCCAGAGTTCTCTGCTTCAGCTTTAGCAACTTTAACTGGGGAAATTCAGCTGTGACAGTCTACACACAGAGACAGCCACAGGCACACGATTGCTCCAGGAGATCAAAAGTACAACATCTTTCCTCCCTGAAGCTTCACCATCACAGGAAAGAGATTTGATTTTTATTTTATTTTATAAGTATATTATATAAGTATATCTTTCCTCCCTGAAGCTTCACCATCACAGGAAAGAGATTTGATTTTTATTTTATTTTATAAGTATATTTTTTACATTATTTTTCATTTGTGCATTTTTTCATCTCAGTTGTAATCCCCATGGCCTTCACCACTTCACCCATGTGCCATCACTGTAGTCCCATGTGCTCTTCCCACCCCCATTTTAATCTTGTTCCCCTTTCCTCCTCCTTAGAATGTCTCAGGTTTATAGTTTTTAGTTGATGTTCTTTCTTTACTTTATTGTAATTTATCTCTCTCTCTCTCTATATATATATATGTATATGTATATATTTTTTTCTGATCCCTTATACTCCTGCTTTGAGTGAAAACATTCAGTATTTTTCTTTTTCATTCTGGGTTATTTCACTAAGCATGATCCCTTCCAGCTCCATCCATGTTGCTGCAAATGGCATAAGTTAATCTTTTTTGACTGCTGAGTAATATTCCATAAGATCCAGCAATTCCACTCTTAGGTTTCTATACAAAGAACATAAAAACAATAATTCAAAAGGACACATGCACTCTTATGTTTACTGCTGCCGTATTTACAATAGGGAAGATGTGGAATCAACCCAAATGCCCCAAAGCAGAAGACTGGATCAAAATGATGTAGCATATATACACAATACAATATTACTCAACAATCAAAAGACTTTTCATTTTTAAACTCTCAAAAGACAAACACTCTTAAGGCCTAGTCAATGACACTGCACACATGGTTTTAATAGAAACCAGCCCTGGTAACATTAGGTGGCTCTTTTACCATTTTTTGAGGAGTAAGGTCAAGTGGTTTCAATATGCCTACACTTTTCTTTATTGGTAGATAAGGAGGATGGCGATCAATTAAAAGGAACTGTCATTCTCCCAAACAGAGAGAATATGTTTATATGTGTACAGGCCCCCAAAGAACTTACGTCATGTCTTAGAAAAACCTGAGTCTCACTAATTTGTTAAGGTCTTTTGATATTTTCAGGTCCAATTATTTCTCCAGTCCTCACCCTTATGTTTTGGAAGAGAATTCCATTTTAATTTATATGTAATTTAAATAAAGAGTTCAATGGGGGGGATAATTTCAAGTAATTATACAATAGGAATATATTTGTGAAGGAAAAATATAAGGCACTTTAAAGAGAATATTACAGATACCCAATAACTTTTAAGCATCTGTTTTTTTATAGAAATAATGTATATTTTTAATGCATGTTTAAAGTGAATCTGAGATTTTAAATCATTATATTTAAAAATATTTAGTTTAAAATATTTTTTTATTAAATATATTTCATGTTTTACATCATTTTTTGGACAGTATTTATTTTCTCCCTTCAGGTGTAGTCCCTGTAATTCTCCCACCTCTGCAGCATCCACGATCCATCCCCATAGTCCTTTGTGCTCTTCCCTCCCCTGTTTTGACCCCTCTCCCTCCACCTCCTTGCTGCTGCCTGAAATCTATGGTGAGCTTGCAAGTTTTGTCTTTTTCCTGACCCTTTGCTCGATTCCTTTATATTCCACATATAAGTGAAATCGTCTGTTAATATCTTTTTCCTTCTAGTTAAATCAGTATCTTTGTGTCCATGAAAAATTATCCGTCTTTGTGAAACAGTGTGAGGTAGGGAAAAAGTCCTTGACACATGTTAGGAGAACTGGGCCACATCTCTCTGACCTTGACTAGCTGGCTAGGCCACCCACCTGTATAATCTGAGCCTCAGGTTCCTTATCCACAAAGTATATTGAACTGTAACTACTACATGAGGCTTTCTTTCTGGTTGTCAATACATGAAGAGATGGGGTATTTCTATTTTATCTACTCAAGTAGTTTATAAGCTTCTTAAGGCGTAAAGTACCAAGTCTTCATATTTCCAAGGATTCTAGTTTCCAAATGAATGCTTTGGCCCTAAGATTTCCAATTCAGATAAAGTTTTTTTGTTTTGTTTTTTGTTTTTTTAATGGAAGTGAAATTGTTTAGAGAACCATCTCTGGGATCTTGTAGAGTACTCTGAACATCACTGATCTCTTGTGCTTTTTTAAAATTACTCAATGTTTCTGAGTCACCAGCTCAGTAATTCTGAGTGAACATAGAAATCCATTTTATGAATTCTCCTTCATGTTATTTCCTTACATGGAGAATTTAAAGTTTTGATGTTTTCTAGCCATTCTTGATGGGGGATTTAGAAGAGATGAAACTGGGCTTTGGAAAAGAACAGGGAGGAAAAGGGATGATAGGACTAAATAGAATTTGTAACACAGCCCTGCGGGGAAGCAAAGCACGTGTGTGTGGAGAGCGAGCCTCAAAAATAGCAAGAGGAAATCACAAGGCAGTGACAGTATAACAACGTGACACTGAGTTAGGGAGGCTTAGCCTTGACACTGAGGCAAAGTTTAGGCTTAGGGCAGAGAAACAATGCTGTGTACATATGAGGGTTTGTGAAGCAAATTATACTTTGTCTCAAAGATCACAATAAGACTCAGTGCTAACAAGTGAGTGATGAATTAATAATGATGTTTCTGAGACAAAGGGAAAATGGCTCTTGGTATGCATATTATCCAAAACTAGTCAAAAGCAATTTCTACATGTTTCATTTAAAATACAGAAGAGAATCTGAAGTATTTCTAACAAATTAAAAGACTGAAAAATAATTGTAAGATACCCACTATCATTATCAACTCAAATAAACACGACATTTCATTACATTGCTGTTTTTTTTTTTTTTAATTATAGAGGGGTAAAGTATTTCTAAGGATTTTTATACTTTTGCTTGTATCATTAATATTTGTCACCTCATTTTTCCATATCATCAATTGCGAATTCTGTCATCTTTGGGGTTTTTCAGGAGCATAAATCCAACAGTTGGGGACAATAGTACTATCATATTTTTTTAAGGTTAAAATAAAGCACCACAAATCTTCCTTTAATTTTTTGCAGAAATAAAGACCCCCATCAGTGGATTGTTACTTTTGGCACAACCATAACACCACCTGCGGTGCAACGAAGGGTGGGAAGAATTATCCTTCATGAAAATTACCACAGAGAAACAAATGAAAATGACATTGCTTTGGCTCAGCTTTCTACCCGAGTTGAGTTTTCAAATATAGTCCAGAGAGTTTGTCTTCCAGATTCATTTATAAAGTTGCCACCTAAGACAAGTGTTTTTGTTACAGGATTTGGATCCATTGTGGATGATGGTGAGTAGTTAAACCTCATTTACCTGTTGAAGATTTGCCTTGAGTTTTAAAAGCTGCCTTAGGTAATCCCTCTTCAAACTTTTCATAAAAATAATATTGATGCTTCAAATGTGTATGACTGTGAGGAGAACAGGGTCCATAGGTCAAACTGTAAAAGGAATCAGGTCCCTAATCTTGAGACATTCAAAATTAACTGGAGCCAGTCTTATAAAGTGGGGAAGTGAATATAAAAGACAAAAGGAGAAAAATCTGACACTATTAGATTATAAGAATGGGCAGAATACTATGAGACTACATGAAGTGTGTGATTCCAAATTTTATATTTCCGGGATATAAATACTTTAGTTTAGTACATACTGCAAAACACAACTCCAGTGGTAGCATTTCCCCCCCTAAATTGTTCTTTATTTTAATGAAAACTCATAAAAATCACAAATGTGAAAGTAATTAAGAGTTTTCATTTTGGTTAGTTAAAAAATTAAATATTTTTCTTCTGTTCTACTTTCTAGGGGATCAAAGATACCACTTCTAATGATATATTTTGACTATCAGAACTTAAGATTTCTAGGTATTAGTTCATTTCTGCTTTAAAGGAGAATTGAATGTTTTAAAAGAATATGAAATATGAAATGGTTAAGATTTTTTCAGAGGTATCCTAAAGAAAGTAGGAGACAAATGCTTCTTATGTTTCTTATTATTTATTCATGACTATTATTTACTCACTTACTTTTTTTTCCAATGAAAGAAAATTGGTGTACACACTACATATTGCTCACTAATGAAGAGCAAATAAAGCTCCATCATAATCCCCTGTACCCTCTTCAAATTTTGCTCTTACCCCCATCTTTCCCTCTGTTACTTCACTTCTGCAATCAGAATCCAAGAGTTTATTTTGATTTTGTCTGTTAGTTTGCTTTTTTATTTTACATTCTATGTAGGAAGGAAATCATCTGGCATTTGTCTTTCTCCTTCTGACTTACTTTGTTTAGTGTCATCCCCTCATTCACTTTTTTCTAGATTTCATTTATTTTTTATAGCTGAGGAGTAGTCCATTGTGTATACAGTCCACATCTTTATCTAGTTATTCATCAATGGACACAGGTTATTTCTGGAACTTGGTTAATGTAAATAGTGCTGTAGTGACTACAGGGATGTATAGTTCTACTTGTGCTGCTTTTTCTATATTTTTCAGATAGATACCAAGAAGTGAAGTTGCTGAGTCATGTGGTAAATCTATTTTTTAATTTTTTTTTGAGGAAACTCCATAGTGTTTTCCAAAGAGGCTTCACCAGTTTACTTTCCCGCTAGCAGTATATGAATGTTTCTTTTTTCCTATACCCTCAACAAACTCGTTTTTTTTTGTTTTTTTTTTTTAAAGATTTATTTATTTGTGCATACAGAACTGGGGTAAGACCAGAGGTTCAGGGGCGGTGAGAGGCTTCATCAGAGACAGAGTGGGGAACAGAACAGGCAGATTGACGAAGTACACTGCTGAGGGGAGCAGCGGGCGGGTCAGGAGAGGTCTGCCACGCCATGTGGTCACCTCCGGGGCAGGCGGGAATCGAACTCATGCGGAAGCGGCTTTAGATTCTCAGTGTTGTGCTTTAACCCGCTGCGCCACCAGGGAGGGCCCTTTTTTGGTATTTTTAATATAGAACATTATCAAAGGTGATATATCACTGCAGGTTAGGTTTGCATTTGGGTTATAATAAATGTTGGTGAGCTCTTTTTCCACATACCTTTTAACCATCTGTATGTCTATTGAGGAAATATCTATTTAGTTCTTCCCATTTCTTGATTGAGTTATCTGTTTTGTTTTTCTTGTGGATAATAGCCTCATGTCAAATGATGTGCAATTATTTTCTCCCATTCAGTATTATTATTATTATTTAAGATTTATTTATGCATACAGAACTGGGGTATAGGCCAGAGGCACAGGGGCGGTGAGAGGATTCACCAGAGACAGAGTGGGGAGCACAGCAGGCTGACTGATGAAGTACACTGCTGAGGGGAGCAGCAGGCAGATCAGGAGAGGTCTGCCACATCATGTGGGTCACCTCCAGGGTTAGGCGGGGATCGAACTCAGGCTGAAGTGGCTTTAGCTTCTTAGTGCTGTGCTTTAACCCACTGTGCCACCAGGGAGGGCCACTTATTTTGCTTTTAACTGTAGTTTCTTTAGGTGCCCAGAACCTCTTTAGTTTTATATAGTTCCATTTGTTTATTCTGATCATGGTATCTCCTTTGACAGGTTATCTATTCTGGCTTCCCTTGCCATCAGAGTCTTTGGGCTCCTTAACTGCAGCCTAGCTCTGATATGAGCAGGTTCTACAAGTAGAATTTTTCCGGCAAGAGCAGAGTTACTGGGTTCAGGGGATCTGTGCACTCAGGAAAGAGGCAGATATCCTGGGTAATCACAATCCTTCTAGCAGCCAAGCTGCCTAGAAGCTCTTGGAGCCCACCTGGGGGAGGAGGACTGCTGTTTCAAAAGCTAGCTGGTTGCAAGCCGCAGGAGGAAGCTCTGACTCTGGCCTGCCTTCAATCAATGAGGTTTGCAGAGCCAAGATGGGTAGAAGTGGGTGTTTCTCAAGGACCTTGGTAGCTGGTTGGGCATATTCTGATATCCCCAAGTTCCACAAACAAAATTTTCCTGCATGCTCAAGCATTAGCAGTTACTGCATGTTGGTGCTAACTGGTTGTATAAGAACTGACTGGAAGCCACAAAAGCCCCTGATGGGCAAGGGATAAGATGATTCACCCTTTGATTCTGGCTTCTCAACTGATTTTAATGAGTACAGCATTCACTAGTGTCAGAACTCCACAGTGATCAGATTGCCAAGAGAAAGTGTCTAGAAGTGGGAAGAGGTTAACACAAAGGTCCTGATCCTTCTCCATCCTGAACTCCCCTTTTTTAGTTAAACTATATCTTAATTTAGCTTTTTTTTTTTTCTGGACAGAGCTCTATTATATGTAAAATTTCTCAAATACTCCATGCATCTTCAACTTGAATTTATGAGAAGTTGTTATGTCTCTTCACATTTTCTTCCCTTGCTAATAACTCACAGCTACTCACTGATAACTTCAATCTATACCCCCAGCATCTGTTCTATTTCTGATGCTTCAATACATCTCTAAGTTGGCAGCACACTACAACCTACATTAGGGAAATAGTTCCATGTAATTCATGTCCTGGTTTCTAGTTGAATCTATTTTGGAAAAACCAGAGCTTCCCTAAGTCTTGACATCCATAAATGGAAAAATGTGTCTCTTGAACAAGATTGGTATCATAAGCTTTCTTCTCATGAAAAAAAAAAAACTATATTGCATATCATTTCAAGGATAGCTTGAAGACCCATAAAATATAATATCAGGTATTATTATGGAATCTTGAATGTATATAGTTATGATGAAGAACATAAATTTAGTTAATAATTATGTTAATAAATATATCTTGTAAGTTTACTCTTAGAAGTATACTGTTTATATGCTTTTCATGTCTTAAATATATTTGTATTCAAAGAATATATTTTTGTTTTTGTGTTTATTGGTGTAAAGGACCGACACAAAATAAACTTCGGCAAGCTAGGGTGGAAACCATAAGCACCGATGTGTGTAACAGAAAGGATGTGTATGATGGCCTCATAACTTCAGGAATGTTATGTGCTGGATTCATGGAAGGAAAAGTAGATGCATGTAAGGTAAGCCCAAAGTCAAGTCAAAACTTTAAAAGCAAAGTTTGCATTTAGCTTTTCTAACTGTGCATATGTTTCATCTGGTAGGAAAAAATATGCCATCACTTTCACCAAGAATTCTTTTTAATAACCATAACAAAAGCTGAGTGTCTACTCTGTGCCAAGTGCTAAGAACTTTTTGCACATCGTTTAGTAGAAGAAAATCAAAGCTGCAGTATAATTGTACATATTTTATAAATTATGATATGAGTTGCACCATATTTCTAGTTTACAAACTAGTCTTACAGTTACTATATTACTATTTCCTTAAACAAAATTGTAAACAAAAGACAGAAAAACCTCTCCTATGACAACTTTATTTGAGATTATCACCATCTCTTGCCTACTCTCCAAGTATCTCTACTTCTCTCGTTTTTAAGGACATTGACACCCGAAATAGACCCATTTAGATGCTGGATTCTCATTTCTTGACCACCTAACCTGCAGTGATCCTTAGTCCCCCTCATTTATTTCAGTCCTAGGGTCACACCTTGAGCCAAGACACAAGAAACTCTTCCAGCTCCCAAACACTAATTCTCCAAATTTTTTTATTTAACAACTATCCCTAATCCTTCCTGCCTGCTTCTGAACTACTTCAGCTGTCTTGGACACAGTCTCTGTTACAACCCCAACCTCTTAATCCTTACTCCCCAACAAATACTACATACATGTATAGTCTTTGTTTCCCTCCCATTTTATTTTTCCCTTTAGCTTTTGTCATCATCTGGCATGCAATGTATTCGATTTACTGTCTGTCTATTCCACTAAACTAGAATGTAAGTTCCATGAAGGCACAGATTTGAAGAAATATTCTTTATTTGTTGCTGTATTAACAAAATTTAAAATGGTGCTTCACACCAGTATTTATTGACAATAAAATATTATCGTTTCAACTTCATAGCAACCTATAGACCATCGTCTTTCTGCTTTTTCTCATTCCACGGCCTTTCCTTTCTTCCATCTTATTTTTTTCCAGCTTAAATTTCACTATCAGCTGTTTAATACTTTTGTACATACTCTAGGTCACTTTATTGCTATCTTTTCATTATTCCTGTCTGACAAAGCCCCAAACCCGCAAGATGTCAAATATACTCTCCCCCCACTTAGCCCCCACCTCCCATCTGGGAAGTCAAATGAAATACAACAGAAAACAGCAGTTTCATTACAGGTTCCAGAATAAACATGGTAATCAACACTATTTTTCCCCAAAATCTACTTTTCTTTGAATTTCCCCCAATATTTTCCACTTTAACTATTAATTATTTTCTACCTCTTTATTTTTAATTTGTGTTTTTTTTGTTTTCCAGTTTTCAAAAGCAAGTAGAAGTCATGAAAGGGAAATGTCCTCCTTCTTTCCAGCACAAAAATTGCATAACTGCCTTCATCTGGACCTATTTTTTCACAGTCAGCTTAGATCACAACACGAAAGCTGCTTCTTTGCTAAAACTAGTTGCTTCTCTGTTCAGGGTCCCCTCCTTAGTGGCCTTTTAAGGGAGATTTCTCAGCATTTTTTCCTACTCAACTTTTTTGTTGTAACTAGATCCTTGCCTACTCATATCTCAAGATAGAGGAGGGAAAAAAAGGTAAACTATTATTTCTACACCCATTATCCCTGCAGCTAGCACCCTGTCTTAGGTTTTTTACCATAAATATTTGGGAAAATGTCTACATCTATTTTATCAGTTTCTTGCCTTCCAATAGCATTCAGATTATTTCATTTTGATTTCTCCCTATTTCATCAAATAGTTCTTCCCAAAGATTCTAATAACCCACAACAGATGTTTTACATTCCTATTCTTTTTGATTTTAAAATTCTTAGTAGTGTTTAGCAATATTTCTTACTCTCTTTTTTGAATACTGCCTTCCTAGATTTTTAATGATTTTCACTGTACATCTCTACTCCTCCTGTCTCCTCTATGGTTCATTCCATTATTCCAATCATTACAATTCAATCTGTTCTATATCCGTTCCTTGTTTTATTCTGTACTTTCTTACTGTAAGATCTAGTTCTAGTCCCAACCTCCATTTGATCTCCAGATACATATCCAACCTCTTGACAGCTTCAATCGGATATTTCAAGTCATCTCAAATTCAAAATATTTCACCTGATTCTGCTCGTATTCACTGCCTTATCCGATCCTCTTCTTCTGTATCTCTGTGAATGACATCCCTTTTATTCTGTTAAATATGCCAGAAAACTAGAAGCCATCATTAACTTTTCCTCCCTATTCCATATCCAAATATACAATTGATCACCTAATCCCATGGGTTTTACCTCATTAAGTATCTCCCATCACTTCTTGCCCTCATACTTACTATTACAACCCTAACCCCACCCCACCAACCCCACCTTCATCCCCAGCTACATAAACCATTCAGCTAATTTTCTTATATTCTCTCTCGCTCTTGCTCCTTTAATGTACTGGTCACATGAAATTCAGGATGTTTCTAATATGATGCTAATCTTACCCTGCTGATCTCTATAATAAACACTTTCGTGACTACCTTCAGTCTTAAGATAAAAATAAAATACTTTTAAGAAGAACCAGAGTTCTTTATAGCTTACTTCTCTCTTTCCAGTCCCCATTAAAAACCATTTGGCCCCTTGTAGTCTTCTCTTCCGTTCCTATTTATTTTCAGGACTTTGTATATGCAAGGCTCTTCATGTCCAACGCATGTTATACATTTCTGCCTAGAACACATTTCACCCCTACCCTCCCGTCCCAGTTAAATCCTTTTCCTTTAAGCTACCAGGTCCCTTATATCTCATTAGGGGAAACTATCCTGACCCTCCTGACCTCCCGTATCGTGTTTCCATAGCACTTATCATCATTGTGATTTTTCATTTATTTGTGGATTTAATATGTTTCTAAACCTAAATTTCAAGTTTTATGAGTATTTTGGTCACTGTATTTCTCACTGGCCATCAATATACCTGGAATGCAGAATTGGAACTCAATAAATGGTGGCTAAAAAATTTAAATAAATGAGGTGAAAGAAGCTCAGAAGGTTAAGTTTCTTACCATAGTTCACATGTCAGTAATCAATGGAATGAATCTGAAACCTGAACAGTTCAACTGCCATGACCACCTTTTTAACTGTACATGTCTATCTATTTACTTAAATATACTCTAAAACATATCAAAGGAGACGTATATATAATGCAACAAGCAAGCTAAATTAGAATTTGGTGAGAAGTGAGGAGGAGACCAAGAGCAGGTCCTTAAAGTATCATGAATGGCACAGCAGACCTCTCTGTCGATCTGCCTGTTCTGCTCCCCACCCTGACTCTGGTGAATCCTCTCACCACCCCCAACCCCGGCACCTCTGGCCTGTACCCCAGTTCTGTATGCATAAATAAATAATAAATCTTTTTAAAAATATAGTGACCAGGCGAGAAAACAATAAGAATAATGAACAGCCATATACCAGAGACATTCTGTGGGGGTGGAGTGGGAAATGGGATAAAAAACTGGGGGGTGGTGGTGGTGAGGGAAGTGCATGGGACTATGGTGATGGCACATGGGTGACTCGGTGATGGGAAGCCCACGGGGATTACAATTGAGATGAAAACAAAAAGTACAAAATGATGTAAAAATAAACTATTTTTAAAATTAAAAAAAAATATATATATATACATATACATATATATATATAGTGAAGCTAACTTTATTCAGAAGAGATCATCAAAACTTTCTGCCTAAGCCTACAAATACTAACCACATATTTAAAATTTTATATTTATGCTTACTAAAACATAAAGTATCTAGTCCATTAAAAGGAAATCCAAGAATGCTAAGCCAGAAATAATGTAACCTTCTCTATGACTTAATCATTCTAGAACAATGAACTTAAAACTCTAGCACAAAATTTTAACTCATTTAAGAAAACAAATGCTTTTCTCTAGTCCTGCTGCAACTTCTATACATCATTTTCCTCTCTTTATTTTGTAGATGAGAGATAATTTCAGTGACTTTTCTACTGAATTTGAAGTAATACTTTTAAATGTTTTTGTTTTTTTCTGCAGGGAGATTCTGGTGGACCTTTGGTTTATGACAATCGTGACATTTGGTACCTTATTGGTATAGTAAGTTGGGGACAGTCATGTGCTCTTCCAAAAAAACCTGGGGTCTACACAAGAGTGACTCAGTATAGATCCTGGATTGCCTCCAAGACTGGTATCTAGTGTGAACTTTCCAGAATTATAACCACAGTGCATGGACCTGAAATCACACATATTGTTGAGTATTTATATTCATGAGGTTTGGACCAGTGCTTTTGTTGAATGTCAGGATATCCTCCAGGCTCAGAACTAATATCATATCACCATGTGATCTTTGCATACCTGAGACTGAATTCAACCCTCTATGAAAAAGACACAGCAAATTGCAGTAGAACTGACCCTCGCTCACAGGGCAACTGTTCTATTGATAAGATGAAGACTTGCAAAGTTTCTCCCAAGGGAGGATGGGAAATGTAATTTTTCACAATATATGAGAGCTGCCAAAAACTTACCTCATATAATCCCTGGAGTACCTGTGACTCTTCTAGCAAACACCAATCAGCATCTTCCCCGAAGAGTCAGAGCTTCATTATTCCAGGAATGATGACCGGCTATTCCGTAGCTAGAGTGGAAAAGCATGGCATTTTGTAATATAACTTGATCTCTGACTTGGATTTATAAATGTTAATAGAGAGCATTATCACGAACAGCAAGAGTTGCTGTTTAAAAAAATGTTTACATGTGTCTGACTTTGCTGTTAACATTGTTATACACAGGCGCTGGCTTCAGGAGGCATGTCGCATTGTTAAAACATTTCTGACTCATCTTTAACAGCATCTTGCTTTCCATATATAAACTGGAGTTAGATCACAAAGGAGTGAAAGCAACTTTTGGGACCTTTTCTCCATCGGTACAAGGAAGATCAAAATCGCTGATAGGAGCTAGGTTAACAGGGTTGTTTTCAAACGAATAATAACAGGACTGTCATATGAATTTTGGCTGAATGAGCTGTCTGCTTATTTAGCAGTCTCTACAACAGGAGGTGGTAACTGATGCTCTGTATGTCTTCAGTTTCTTCACAGATCAGATTTCTTTAAGAATGTCAGGCTGACAGAGCTGATCTTTTTGAAGCATACAAGGCTGTGCCTGATAATTATGCTCAACATAAATGTTTGCGATTATGCAACGATGCCACCATGAGTTTTAAAGATCAATTGTCTTAATTTGTGAAATGAGTGAATGACTTTGGGGCTTAAATATAATGTATAGTGGAGGAGAGCACAGGCTTTGGAATCACACTGCCCAATCTTGAATGTTGGCTCTGCCCTGTTTGAGCTGTGTGTGCTTAGACAGGTTTCTTAACATCTCTGTGATTAGTTCTCTCATCTCTATGCTAATACCTACCTCATGTGGTTGTTATGAGGATAAATGTATTAATAAAGGTAAAGAACTTGGAATAGTGTCTACACAGAGGAAGCTCTCAAAATGAACAACTTAAATTATTGATGTGCATTGGACTCAATAAAACAGTACTTTTTATTTTTTTATTCATAGTTTTAAATATTGTTATATGGGTAATATTGGTTTACAACATTGTATATGGCTCAGATTATATAAAATCTCACCACTATGGTTGTATGATACCACAGTATACTGACAAAAAGGGACCTATAGTCTTCCACCATAGTCCAATATGCCCCCTTCGTCTTTCCTCACCATTCTCTCATTCCCTTCTCGTATCTCAAGTTTGGCTGTCTTGTTTCTAGAGACCGATTTTGGTTTGATATTGGCTGACTCTTTGTTTCTTTATATTCCACATGTGAGTGAGGGAAGCCATTCAGTATTTGTATTTTCCGTCTGACTTATTTCACTTATCTTTATCCCCTCCTGTTCTATGCCTGTTGTAACAACTGAAAAGAGTTCATCTTTTTTTTTTTTTTTAATATCTAAGCAGTGTTCTACTGTAGGAAACTCAATTACTATAATTACTGTAAATAGTGCTGCAATCAACACTGAGTGTATATCCCCTTTGAATAAGTGTTATTTCATTCTTTGGGTTGAAACCTAAGAGTGGAATGGCTGACTCATCTGGCAGATCTATTTTCAATATTTTGAGAAATCTCCATACTATTTCCCACAGGGACTAAACCAGTCCACATTCCCACGAAAAGTTTTTTGCCTTGTGATATGGGCTATACTCACAAGTGAGATGGTATCTCATTATGGTTTTGATTTGCATTTACCCAATAACAAGTGTTGAGCCTTCTTTTCATATATCTGCTGGTCATCTGTATGTCTTCTTCAATGAAATATCTAAGCTTTCTGTTCATATTTGGGGGAGGGGAGGTTATTTTTGTTGAATTATATTAGTTCCTTATAGATTTTGGATATTAGCTCCCTATCAGATGTAACATTTGCATATATTTTTTCTTTGATTTTTTTTTATTTTAATGAGTTTCTTTCATTGTGCAGAAGCTTTTTAGTTTGATGATAGTACTGTTTATTTGCTTTTTTTAATCTGTCGTAGGAGGTGAGTTGCCAAATACATCACTAAAGCCAGTGCCATGGAGTGTTTCCTTCTATGTATTTTATGGTTGAAGGTCTGCCAACCAAATATTTAATCCATTTTGAATTAATTTTTATATATGATGTGAGATAGTAGTCTGTTTTATTCCTGTATGTGTGGCTACTCAGTTTTCCCTGCACCATTTTTTAAAGAGACTTTCCTTTCTATAAAGTATGTTCTTAATTCCTTTGTCATAGAAAAACAATCCCTTTTACTATTGTATCAAAAAGTATTAAACACCAATATAATAGGTGAAGCACCTATATAATGAGAGCTATGACACATGTCTTCTAAAAAAAAAAAAATGGGCCCCCCTGGTGGCGCAGCGGGTTAAAGCACAGCACTAAGAAGCTGAAACCACTTCCGCATGAATTCGATTCCCGCCTGCCCCGGAGGTGACCACATGCTGTGGCAGACATCTCCTGACCCGCCTGCTGCTCCCCTCAGCAGTGTACTTCATCCATCTGCCTGTTCCGCTCCCCACTCTGTCTCTGGTGAAGCCTCTCACCCCCCACTCTGTCTCTGGTGAAGCCTCTCACCGCCCCTGAGCCTCTGGCCTGTACCCCAGTTCTGTATGAACAAATAAATAAATCTTTTAAAAAAAATGAAAGAAAACACAAAGAAAATGATAGATATCCCTTTCAGTTCATAGACTGGAAAAATTAACTTTAATGAAATTTCCATCAAAGCTTCAATAGCATTTTTTCAAATAAATAAATTAAACATTACTGAAATTTGTATGCAAACACCAAATTTATATGGAACCCAAATAGCCAAAGTAATTCTGACCAAAACTGGGGGGGGGGGGTTTAGAGGGAGGAAGAGTGGAATTACTCCAACCCTAGAATTCTAGTTATGCTATAAAGGTATAGGTAATAAAGAATATGGTATTGGCATAAATATTGACACACAAAAAAAAGGAGTAAAACTGAGAACCCAGAAATAAGTCCACACATATATGAAAAATTTACTTCTCAAAACTGCCCCATGCTTCTTTCAAAATCATATGATTCTATAGTGTTTAAAGTTACCTTGTTAAAAAAAACAAAACCCAAAAAAACCTGGTCAACTTCATTTTCAATTTCACACATTAGGTTTCATTATACTTCCAACTACGTTTGCTTACGAGCAAGTAGTGTCAGGATCATGGTCACCATGGCCAGGGTGACAACAGAGAAACAGGTGTATTCATCTCTTGTCTCAAATGTCAGACCTCATGTGCTAGATTTGTTGCTTTTGTTGACCAGAGGAAAATCTACCTATTTCTTTATTGACTGAAAGTTATTAACACAAGAATAAATGTAAACAAGATAAATCAAACTAAGACAATTTCTATTTGTTATTAACACCTCCATGTTAAAATATCAAAAAAACCCAAAAGGATCCTCCAAACATATTTTCCTTTGAAAAAGAAAATGTCAACAAATGTCCAAGTTGATGTCTACTAATCACTAAATACCACAGAATGTGCAGAGTAAAATCTTAAATCTTCACATTTTTTTCTATAGAGAATTTCCAGAGTTTTCTGGAAGATATTTAGCAATTCAAAATGTGCTTGGCTGATGATAAATATTTTAATATTAAAATTAAGTACAGCCTTTTGTTGATAGAGGCAAACAAATCTGTCTTGAGCAAAATCCATTTTCTACTATGTAACATCTATAATGAGTATATGCTTTTGTATAACTATATATGTCGTAAGACTGTGATCACTTTTTGGACATAAGAGTCTGGGACATTGTACACTGAGTTAAATAGTTAAGGTCTGAATTCAATTCAATGACACTGTAATACAAATGAGAGGAAAAAGAACATGTAATCTGAGAAATGGGAAAGGCAACATTTAAACAGAAGGCATGTGTCTTTTTTTAGTTTGATACCTGACACGTTGAGTGGCCTTGCAGGAATGGTGGCAATTTTACCCCATATTTTCCATCTACCTCGTAGCATCGTTATGAGGCTTTCTCTTAAATTATAAACTTGAAAAGTCAAAGAATTTTGAAACTTGTTTTAAAAAGGCAAAATATGTTGTTGTAAACCAATATCTGTACAAATGATGCTGTGAATGTTTTAAGATTGTAAAGAAGTTTTTTTTTAACAGAAGTAGCATTTTTATTTATCATAGTCTGTGAATTTTTCAAATATACTGTGATTAAAAAAAGTGAGCCTTGGCTTTCCTTCCTTTGTTCTGAGTACTATAGCATTCACATATTTCATAGAAAAACGTCTTTAATTTGTATGACTCATATTTTTGTTTTGTTTTGTTTGACTCATTGTTTAAAAGGAAAGGACACATTTACTAAGCTGACCACAAACAAGTAAATTTGGTTAAAATAAATATTTTACAATTAACATATATTTGTATAATTATTTGCAATCACTATTTTTGAATTGATACATCACTGCAAAAACCTTTGCCAGAATGTCAGACTAACTTGATATCAACTAACTAAATTTTATATGAGGGTCATGTACAATAAGTATGGTACCCTCCCCACCCTCAGTCCATGATTCTACCACCATACCAAGTGAAGACTACTCTGAGCAATATTCTTTTCTCTACTTGGTTTATTTCCAGTAAGTCTGTGGTGTCGTCTTCTTTCCATTTGGCTGTTTG